CCAAGTTTGGACAACCCTGCTGTAGAGGATTCACACTTAACTGTCACTTGCTCCAGAAAAGACTAGGACTAATGGGATGAAATGTCAAGGATGTAGATACGGATTAGATATTAAGAACGTCTTGACAGTAACAGCTGTCAAACCAATGGAGTGGTTTCTTCACTTCACTGGAGGTTTTCCAAGAGAGGGTGGATAGTTATCTATCAGGGATGGGTAGTGACTCCTACAGTGTGCAGGGGGTTGGACATGATGACCTTTTATGTCCCTTCCAACTCTACAGTTCTATGATTCTAGGGCATGCTTTCGCTTGGCATCCTCCACCCTAACTCTAGTGTGAGAGAAAATGAGGCTCCCACAGTACGTGTACATTACTAGAAAAAAAGTCATAAAAAGGAAATAAACTCTATACCACCACCTGGTTTGGTAGCGTTGAGATATATTACTAGGGAAATTAGTCCATCCTTCTCTGTGGGGAGATAGACCAGTCTCTTAATAAATACATAGAACCACATTTTATTTTTAAAAAAGGAAAAGGGAGGTCACAGTGATATGAAGAAACATTCAGTGGTTGGGAAGATAAAAATATAGGGCCACTCAGATCAGAGACACATCTTAAGAAGAACCTCTAAGAGGAAAATTTACAGGAAAAGCTGAGATTCTGAGAAGGTCCCAAGATGATGCTGGTGACTGAACTGCTCCCATTTAGAAGCAATTCTGATGTAAAGAGGTGTCCATCTGCATAAAGCGCATAAGGAATGATCTTGTATAGAAACAGTAATCTGCAGAGGAAAAAGATTAGATTTAAAACAGAGAGAGAAAAAAAGAAAGTTTCCATAGTTCTTAGCTAACTTTCCCCATTCCTCTAGAGACCAGAACCCTTGGAATAGACGTTACCCCTGTGCCAATTTTTTACCTGGAAAATTCTTCCTGAAAATTCCAGTTTTAATCAGAGGGTGGAGTAGAATCTTAGCTCTCTCTTTGCTCACCCTCACTCCCACCACACGGCTTCTGGCTTATTTGTTTGATTTATATCCCACCTTTTGTAAAGGAGTGCAAGGTGGCATGTGCCACCCTCCCTCCTCCTCCTCCTCTCCCCACAATAGCAACCTTGTGAGGTGGGCTGAGACAGAACGACTGGCCAGGGTCATTCAGTGATCTTCCATGGCTGAGGGGAGACAAAAAGCTGAAACTCCCTGCTCTAGCCGGCATCTTTACTCCTCCTCCTCCTCCTCCACATTGGCTTGTCTCCCTCCTGCCAGAGAACTCTCTGTGCTTTCCAAAACTACAAGGGCTTTTCCATCTGGAGAGGGAGGGGATGTGAGGACCCCTCCTTTGGCTATGTGCTAAAGTCAGCACCTCTCTGTAGAAAGATCCTGCTTGAGATGGAGGGAGGGAGGGAGGGAGGGGTAGAGAGAGAGAGAAAAAAGAGAGATCTTCATGAATTGGTTAATAAATTGGCCAAGTCAATTTAACTGAGCAACTGACCAATAAAATCTAAACAATAGATTTTTTAAAAATGTGGTTATTACCCTCTCTTTTAAATGGAAGCTGAATACAGTGCGAGAAACTTCACAGTCAAAAGTTAGATTGGGGGGCAGGAAGTAATTCACATTAATTTTATGGCTGGTTTCCCCCCCCCCCCCCC